GGTGCTGCCCGGGCCGAGCTTCGCGTTGGGGTGCGGGAGGGCGGCTGTGTCGTGCTACCGTTAACCTGCCAGCCGCAGCCCGAAAGGCCGCTTCCCCAGTGCACCCGGTGCGGTGGGATCCCGTCCCGCATCGGGTCTAAACCCATGCGCTTTCTGGGAGGCTGCTGCTTCTCTAGGGCTGTGTAACGCCCGCTGCACGCCGCGCTTCGCGGCGTGTGCCTCGGCGGGCTCGCTACTCCGCAGCCATCCGCAGCTCTGAGGGCCGATGCTGCTCTATTTTCCACAGAAAGATGGAGGTCCAGTTCTTGGCCCTCCGTACCAGCGGCGGGGGGGGGGGGCGGGGCCGGGGGGGGGTTGCCGCGCTTCAGGCAAGTTAGGATGTAAGCAAGCTTCGAGGAGGCCAGAGCAGTCGTGTAGAAACTGAGAATTACTTGATCGGTAACTCTCAAGTCAAACCTTCTGTAAGAATTGCCGGTATAGTCAGCGCTTTACGTACCTGAAGATTTCCGCAGGTGCAGTATTTCAGAGACATCTGGCATATAACCACCTGTTACAAAAAGGAAAAAATGTAGCCACTTGATTTTATTTTGTAGGATTGAAGCAGCTCGATGCCCAGATGTGGTTGTGGCGCAAATAGACCCCAAAAAATTGAGAAAGAAGCAGACAGTAAACATTTCAGTAAGTTTGAGAGCTTTTACGCGTTTTGTTTTGAGAGGAAAAGAAATTAAGGGGGAAGATGTTAAGATCATAATGTTTGTACTAATTTTGGGGAGTGGCTGGTGTAACTAAATAGCACTGCTGGATTTTAAAAGCATCTACAGAATTAAATGCGTTTGAAGAAATGCGTGTTTAGCTGCTGGCTAACAGCAGTCTTTATAACTGATTTAAATTGATAATATCCATACTGTTTGATACACTGCAGACTGTTTTACTGTCTGACGAAATCAAATGTTGCATTAAATTTTACAGATACTTAATCATAAAACCTGCATAAATTTTAGAAGAAGGGTATCTCCATATCTATATTTAGGTTTAAATATATATCTAGGGTAAGGGTAGTAAGTGCAGCTAAGCTTTACTAAAGTTAGATGAAATTCTAGCAACACTTCTTTCTTTTTGGTGAAATATTTTATCGGAGTTTTTCCTCACTGCCCAAGCAGATTTTTCTGTTGTCACATTATCCTGCCAGCTTGGTTTTTAATCTACTTTCAAATAGTTCAAGAGACCAAGTTTGCCTTTCTCTAATGAAAACTGTGTAATCTGAAATGTCGCTACTAGATTGCTTAAGAAAAGTTTCTGGTACTGACATACAACCATGTAACTTCTGTGACCATTCTCTTCATTTCATAGAATCATAGAATAGTTTGGGTTGGAAGGGACCTCTAAAGGTCATCTAGTCCAACCCCCCCTGCCGTGGGCAGGGACATCTTCAACTAGATCAGGTGGCTCAGAGCCCTGTCCAACCTCACCTTGAATGTTTCCAGGGATGGGGCAGCCACCACCTCACTGGGCAACCTGTGCCAGGGTTTCACCACCCTCAGCGTAAACAATTTCTTACTTATATCTAGTCTAAACCTAGCCCCCTTTAGTTTAAAGCCATTCCCCCTTGTCCTGTCGCAACAGGCCCTGCTAAAAAGTCTGC